GAGACAGCGGTGACGCAGATCTGAAGGCTAGACCATCCCATTTCACAGCCGCTCTCCTCTGGCCTACCCGACCTTCTGAGGACCCAGGCCACGTAGACCGCGAAGGCCGGGTCCTCAGGAGGATGCAGACCATGAATTTGGACATGACGACATATGCTTTGTAACCCAACCTATCCCAGAATGCGGCCAAAACATTTGCGAGATCTCGCAAAACTTCAGTTTTATATTTTTTTCTCCCACGTCCCTTGCAGGGCTCCGTATTTGGTTGATGTATAAACTAGAGTGAAATTCTGTTTTTCAGATGTGTTTGAGGATTTTGGCAGTTAGTAAGACTTGATTATTAAAGGTGCACCCCCACCGTGGGATGTAACCTGTAACTCCAAACAACCAGGTTTATCTGCCGTGTGAAGCCCAAACCATTTTCTGGACATCGTAGACAGCAAGCAGTTAGATGTGACTAAATAATAATAAAAATAATCAAACAAATAAATAATAAAAAGCTGCATTTGCTATAGGAGTATTGATGTCAGGGTTTTGAATTTTTCTGGAATATTCTTTTGGTTTTTAAAGTTTGATCTATGTTTGAACCTTGTATAATGATTATGATATAGTTTCTTGGTTCTTCTGTTTGCTAGCTTTGATTCGAGTTCTTGGTTCCTTGTTAGACGATTTTAATTCCCTTCTGTCTTCAGTCTGTCCCAGTCTTCCTTTCTGGAACAGACTTCTTTTCATGCTTTGGCTTCTGTCTGTGTCAAGTTCAGGTTTCCAGGTCAGTGTTAGTCATTTGCTTATTTACTTTGGTGACCACTTGTCTCATGTCTTCTGTTCTTCTTCCGGTGTCTAATTATTTGTTTCAGTTATCTTCCCACCTGTCGTGTTTTCCCTTGTTATGTATTGTCTCTGTCTCCTTTTGTCCTTTGTTGTGTCCTTCCTTGCAGTCTGTTCTCCATGAAGACTCATAGATTTACCCAAAAGTTTAATTCTGTTCATCTGGATATAAAGGTTTTAGTAAGAGAAGCATTTTGTCACTCATCCAAGTGACTTCTTCAGTCTTGGATCAGTGATGAAATGTTTTTCCCAGTAATTTGGGTCTGACTCTGCCTGCCACACAGTCAACACTGACATGTTTTTTGTTTTCTGGACAGGAGAATGAAATACTATTCCACATTCATTTTTTGTGATCTTAAGTTGACATAACCTGTTATCATTATATTAAATTTTACAATATATAGCTTCATGCACACAATTCTGACATTAGTGTTGTTATTACTGTTGTTAAAGTCTTAATTAAAATTTTAATTGTTTTCTTTTAGGTCTCCAACATGTGTTTCTGCTGCATGGAAAAGACTTACACCTGGATGTAGAGAAATTGGTTAAACTTGACAAAAAGACTGATTTGCTCTGGAAATTTAATTACAGTAACAATATAGCTAAACATGTTTTTAATAATGATCCAGTCGTGTTTGACAATTATGAAGGAAGGGCTGAGTTGTTTGGACAAAATGACTCTTTGCTAGTGAAGAATGTACAACACAATGACAGTGGAGATTATACTGCAGTAACAATCAGCGGAAAAGAGCAAAAGGTAGCTGAATATAAGGTCATAGTTCAAGGTAGGTTTCTCTTTTCATTGTTTTGAAATGTTCACACATCATAGACGTGTTTTTAATACTTTCACACCTGTTGTTCCCCAGATTCAGTGACTCCTGCTGACCTGGCAGTGGACCCTGTGTCCAACAGCTCAGACTCCTGTGACCTGACTGTGACCTGCAGCACAGTGGACTTTAACATCAGCAGTAGTTTCAGATGTGATGGTAAAAACTGCTCTCATGCAGGAGCAAAGAATTTGAAGGCCACAAAATTTTTTTCCTCTTTAATTGTTTACCTGCAGCAAGATACCATTTTCTGTAATCACAGCAACCAAGTGAGCTGGAATGAGACTAAGAAGGTGCTCAAATCTTACTGTGAAACAGATACAGGTGAGAATGACGGTCATAATGAATGAAAAACTGAAATAACCACATTCTAAAGACCTTGCTGTGTGATGTTTGCATGTTCTCCCCATGTCGAACTACTTCTCCAAAAACATGTAGTTCGACATGGGGTTAACTCAACTGATAATTGAATGTAGGTGTGAACTGACCACCGACTGTGAATGGTTGTCAACAAAATCTGTATTGCCTTCTTAAAGAACTTGTTTAAGCAAACTGCCACAACCAGGGGTATGTAATGTAATATTGTAATGATCAGTAAAAGATTTACTGCTATTATATTTTTTGTTCTTTGCAAATAAATCCAAGTATTTAACCAAAATTTCTGTGACATAACAATTTAATTTCATTACAGCTCCCAGTGGAGCCATCATAAATGCAGCTTCGACTTCTGTTCTCTTCTTGCTGACTCTCTTCATAACCTTTGTGGCATCATGAAATGTAAGTTCCAATGTTTGTTTTTAGTGTAATATGTAGGTAATATTAGGTAATATGTAAAGTACACAAAAATTAAATTTTGCATTAAGCATACAGCTTTATACAAATACACATTTCTATATGATTAGGTAATGCCAGAGAGCCCAGCGAAGATATACTGTAGTACAGAGTAAAGATCTATTTGCGTATGTTCTGTGTGAGTGTGTTTTAACTGTGTTGATTCACTGTGGAATGGGAGTTTAGTGTTAAAGAATAACAATATTAATAAAAATAAATAATAACAAAGCCATTAAAATTATAAAACAAAGACGGGGAAGTGTTCAGAAGGAAATTCTTGAATTAATTTTGTCCCTAGTTGTACCAGTGTACATGTTAAAGTATAGACTTGGAAAACATTGGAACAGTAAACATTGTTTTGTTAGCTTTAGGAGGTCGTGTAATGATGGTTACAACAATTCAAAGGCAACCTTGATGTCCACCACCCATTAAAGAGAATTGAAATTTGCATTATCTATGTAAAGATGCAATTTGTCTATAAATATATCATAAATATACCTCAAACTACTCAAATATTATAAAAGATGATAAATGTCAGTGTTAAATTGATATGTAGTGTATATTCTGTGACTATGTGGGGGGTAAAGTTTTGTCATTACAATAGTATGGCTGCTGTTCTTGTTTGTGTGTGTGTGTGTGTGACTATGACAGGTACCATAGGCATGTTTTTTCACACTTAATGAAAGCTATAAAAATATCAAATTAACTTTGACTGCAAAGAGGGATGAGTTTATTTTTCTCTCTCACTTTTTTTTTTAAAGCAGACTGATCTGTTTACAGTCTACTGACAGAACAGGGTTTTTATCAAAAAATTCTGTTTAACTAGCATGAGTTAAGATAGAAAATCGGGAATAAATATTATTGTATTAGTCCAATATATCACTTCTGTTTGGCTACAGTGAGATCGTTTTTTATGTACTAAAAAATCACCTAGTAGAAGATGTAAATGTAACACTTTAATAAGGAAATAAAATTTATCCTGCGATAACTTAAATTTCAAGCAAGTCAATCTATATTTTCTATGACTGACTTACAGGTAAAAGTAAAGGAGGGAACCAGGAAAATACTATTTATGCGGTTCCTGAGGTAAGCGGAAACTTTTTTGGAAAAACAAACCAAAAAAAAAAAAAAACAGAAGAAGAACCTCTCCCACTTTGCTAGTCAAACTGTAGGAACAAATGGTTTAATTGTGAGTAATTAAATTATTGAAAACAGATTTGTTTCTGTACAAAATCCTTTAAATTTTTAACTGGACTGAAGTCTGCAACTACACATGAGCAAAACTGTTTCACAAACTACTTTCTAAAATCAACCCCATCTCCTTTCTACACCAACTGTTCCATCTAGTTTGCTGATGCAGATCCAACCTTATGCTTGTTCTTGTCACATTTAGACATCACAGTTTGTGATATTTTCTTGCATTTAGACTTCCTGGCTTATTATTGTATAACACATGTAAGATAAAGTAATCATGACTGTGACATTTTCCTAACAAAGCACTTTTGATTTATTTCCAGGACATCATTCCAGGCCAGACTCAAAATCAGACTCCCTCAGGACATGAATCATGTAATTCTCCAACATCTACTTATGCTTTGGTGGAGTTTCATACTGGACAAAAATCCACAAAGACTGAAAACATCCCCCAGCCAGAGACGGTGTATGCTCAGGTTGACAGAGCTGCAAAGCCCAATTCTACAGTCCAACAACAAACACCCAGAGCTGAAGAAAACCAATAACTGTATTTATAATGATCAACAGTGTTCACTGATGTACCATATGTGTAAAATGTGGATGTTCATGTTACTGTGACCAAGAGAGAAACATGTTAATCAGAAAGCATATGGATCTGTTCACTCACATGTAGCTCACTTTACACACGAGAGTCTGGTTGCTGATTTATATTGTGGTCTAACTTAAAGATAGCTCAATTTGAATTAACCGAGCTAGTTAACCCAATTTTTATTCTTTCAAAGTCTTATTTTTGAGAAAATGAAATAGGGACAGAGTTTACAGACATACCAACAAAGTGGGTAGAGTCAGCTGAGAACCAATGAGTGTATGTGCCTGCAGAATATTGTGAAATATCTGCAATATTTAGTTTGTAATGTTATTATATTAATAACATTACATTACACGTGTATGTGTTTCTTTTTATCATATATAATGGTTGTTGCATCAGTAAATGTGTCCGCACAAGCATTTCACTGCATCTTGTGAGATTGTGCATGTGACAAATAAAGGTTGTTTGTTTGTTGTTGGTTTTGTTTTTGTTTAATTGTACTCTAACTGCTTTGGATTTGTGTATAATAAAACCAAAGCAGTGGTCTTTAACTTTAAAAATATTCTACAGTCGTGAAAATGTGAAACTATTTATAGCCAGGTAAAAATGGCACAAGTCTCAAAGAGGAGGAGAATACATGAACTAACACAGTACATGTAAGTCTTAAATGAGATGCCAATCTATTTGAATGCATTTAAACTGCATTTAAACCATTTACAGGCAGATTAGTTAACATCCCCTTTATCACACTGTGCAGCACAGCACAGATTAATTACCAATTACCAATGGCCATTTTTTCAAACTTCACAAATGCTACGTGGTTGTGAAAAAACAGTAGCCATAGGTGTGTAGTCTGTATGGGCTTGTGTACAGTTGTGGCAGCGACGGAGAAAACAGAAAAGCAATTTATTCTGAATTTTTTTCATGTCTAGTCAGACTGACTGCAGTAATGTGTTTTCTTTGTAGAGATTGAAACAATAAAGGGATTAGCACCAAGTCAGTTTGAGAGACTTTAATACATGTATGTGGATTCCACTTACATGCAATAAGGAAGAACATCAAGATAATATATAGTGTCCATCCCCTTTGCCCATACATATTGGCACCTGTATGATAACCCATATCTCCCAAAGGTCACAGATCACCACTTACCTTTGGATGTCTGTAAATGCACCTGAAAGCATATGTCACGTGAACCACATGAAACTAGATGTATGTAACACTAATTATAAGTGCATGCGTGTGTGTATGTATACTTCTCAATTTCATTTGTTTTTTCACAGATGTAAGAAAAGCCTTTGGATTCTTTTTGATCAGAAGTGGTTTTCTCCTTGAACTGTCCCATGGATGCCATTTTTTTCACCAGTCTCTTTGTTTTGTCAAATCATGAACTCTGACCTTCACTGAGACATGTGAAGCTTGGAGTTCTTTAATGTTGTTCTGGGTTCTTCTGTGACATTACTTTTTCAAGCCATTCGGGAGGGGCTCAGAGTAGAGCCGCTGCTCCTCCACATTGAAAGGAGCCAGTTGAGGTGGTTCGGGCATCTGACAAGGATGCCTCCTGGGTGAGGTGTTCTGGACATGTCCCACAGGGAGGAGGCCCCGACGCAGACCCAGGACATGCTGGAGAGACTATATCTCTTGGCTGGCCTGGGAACGCCCTGGTGTTACCCCAGACAAGCTGGAGGAGGTGGCTGGGGAGAGCGAGGTCTGGGGCTCTCTGCTTGGGCTGCTGCCCCTGCGACCCGACCCCAGATAAGCAATGAATGTATGCTTATCATACTGTGTTATTATTGATGTTTTTCATAGGTTTGAAAAGAATATGAAGAAATTATGTTTTTTTGTTACTGGCTTCCAGCTTCAAATTGTTTCAGGATTTAAAATGTCTATTCTTGAAGGATTAAGTCATTGTTAAATAGTTTAACTGAATTTACAACAAAGAAAAGAAAAGGAAAAAAAGTTTTCCTCTGAAAATGTTCTGGTACAAGGACTGGACTGAAAATGAACCAAATTCGTTTCAAATTATTATACTACAACCTTCCATTCTACCTTTTCCCACAATTTAATTATGTTATTTTCATACCTTTTCTCTCAGTGCAAAACAAGAGTGCCACTATCTCAAAAAAAGAAAAAAAAAAAAGATGCAGTAGAGGGTTTATCTTATGTTTCCAAAATTCTGAATTAATTTCTCTCAAATTTCTCTCAGAAAAGCTTTTACTGAAAAAGCTTTTTAAAAGCTTTTTTACTGCTTTAAACGAGTGGACACTTATCTAAGTAGCTGTGTTCACCCATTTATAACCATTTGCTTTTTCATAGGTCTATGTTTCAACACCTCTTGCAGCTTCAGCCTTGTCTGACTGTATGACAGATGTACGACTACTGCCCTCTGTCTGTGACACTGAAGTAACGTCACAATATCAGCAACTCTATACTCTTTCTGACTTATCTCTTTGGCTCCCTCTCCTTTCCTTTTTCTTGATCTACTCCCCATGCAGAATAAACAACAAAACAAAAAACAAACCACAGAGGTTAAAAAGTAAAAGCTGTTCAGTGAACCAACGCAGAACCAAAATGAGAAGCTTGAAAGGACCCACAAGTGTGCTTTGACAAAACATTATTCTACCTCTTCATTGCTCAGTTGAGAGAATCATGACTGGTTTATTTCTTGGTAAAAACCCAAACATGTACTGTAATAGTTCAATTAAATGTAGCACTACAACTGAAAAGTAGACAAACCTGAACCGTTTTGTGTGACCTGTATATTAGTAATGGTGTTTGTATTTCATGTTTTCTGTAATGCATGACTGCTGTTGCTGCTTCAGAACATAGCACTTTATGTATGTGATGTAAATTTGCATCTTGAAAGGTTAAGGTGAATGTGTGTTAAATTTTGAGTCTACTAAAAGCACTCAATCACTGAAAATCATTGAATTGTTAGTTTTAAAAAACAGATGATTAATTTTTTAACAAATCAAACTGTAATTTTTTTGTATGTCTCTGTAGCTTAAATAATATTAATGTGTCCAGATAAGCACAAACATTAAAGGAACTCTTCTTTATGTAAAAAAACGGTAGCCTACTATTCCTTGAACACTTGCAGAAATCACAGACAAAAAAGTGGAACAGTATACAATGCAGGTGAGTGCTGGGATGTGAGAATGTG